GCACCTTCCATAATGTTGATGGCCCATTTATGAAATGGATTACTCAAATCTCTCACTCCACAAGTCACCTTGATCAACAGTCCATATTCAATCTCAAGAAAGAGGCAAACTATGGGAAACTCTAAAGAAACCCTAAACCTAAATTTCAATATAAATTGGGTTGCCCTCTCCCCATCTCTATACACCTCTCTCTCCCATAAACTCTCTCTCTCTCTCTTCCCTAGGGGCCACACCCCTCTCTCTACTCTCTGCTCTCTCTACTCTCTCTCTCTCTCCTAAAAAGATCCTAGGGGGCACGCCCCAACATAGAGACTTTCTCTCTCATGATCTAATCTAAGGGTTGAGAAAATTAGGGTTTGAGCCTAATTATTTTGGAGTTAAGGTTTTGTAGAGATTTAAGGGTGGTTACCTAGTTTGGCCGAAATTAGCTTTCTCGGTTTGAGATTGAAGCTAGACCTTTAATCCCGTGCCATTGGATGTGGTGTCTCGGTGTGGGGTGTAAAAAGCCCGGTTGAGGTGATCTCCGACATCTTTTCTTTTAATTGTTTGTTCTTTTATTTTATATTCTCATGCACAGTATTAGGTTGTATGAATGACATTTAGTAGTTGAGATTTATTTTATTGATGTATTATTTATTTTTGAAATTTCTATTGTTTGTAATAAGACCATCGGTGAGTGGTCTTGTTGCCAAAATTATAAGGGGTGATTATTATTAAAAAAAAAAAATGTATTTCCCCGGCAAAAGATTACATAGGTCTTTCTTTTAGATGGTTGATCTAAAGATCGGATAGCTCAAATCTCTCACCTCACAGATCTCCTATGATAAATGGTCTAAATCTAATCTCACTAAAAATGGCTAATTCTAAGAAAACCCCAACCCTTTCAAAATTTCTAAATAGGGGCTCTCCCATCAATAATTTTACACACCTCTCAACTCCCTCTCTCTCTCCNTCTCTCTCCCCTCTCTCTCTCTCTCTCTCTCTCTCTCTCTCTCTCTCTCTCTACGTCTACGTCGTACGTACGTACGTACGTACGTACTA